TAATTTGATTTTGTTCGAAAATGTTGCATTTATATACATCTTTCCGTCTCAGTGTGTAAGTTTGTTTAGTTTTGCTAAAATCAAAATACTARTTAATTTTARAGCTGTAGGGGTAAATCTCACTCTACTTCAGATCTCGTTTCTTGCACCCCAYGTATAAAAAAAGCAATCATAAAACCCTCGTTTGAAATATTGTTTTCTTTCAAAGGTTCGGATATTTTCTACAATCCACTGAGTCAAATACAAATATTGATATTTACCAATGCAATTACCATCAGACCTTTTAGAGAGACGGCAAATAAAAGTTACCGTAATACATAAAACACCAACTAAGACGTAAATATGTATAGTTTATATGTTTTAAACTTCAGGAAATAACCGACAGAAACGTTGAATTGAGCGCCGAATACTTTAAAGCACGAACATGTATGTGATTCGACTAATTTCATATCTTACTATTTTAAATTGATTGATCATTTGTACGAATAAAAATATTTAGACTTTTGTTGATGAAAGGAAAGTTATAACAAAACAGCACGTATACATGTTTTACTCTGGCTATCGAAATATTGAAACGAATTATTTTAGCTTAGTTGACAACATGTAAATAAATTATTGTATATTTTCGGGAATTATTTAAAATGCTTGTTAATTCGAAATACGGCTTCAGAATTTTTATTTCACACAAACCTTTTGTTCGCCTTTAGGGAAGATTAGTGTTCAGTAGCGAGTTAATTTTTGTAACTTTTTTTATTATCTATTGTGCGTATTCAATTAGCGTAAATTTTTACGGAAGATTTAACATTTCCCCAGAGAAATTTACCATCTTTGAAATAACGAATTGGAATTTCAATATATTATGTTCTGAATTAATTAAATTCAATTATTATTAATACTGTTTACTACAAGACAGTGCAATTTCAGCTGCCGCTAATTTCAGGCTGAACCCAGTTGATGAGGGCTAATGGGCTCGAAACTGGTCCTGGGGTGTCTGAGGTTAGCGAACCTCAAAACTTGCATGATTTCTTCTTCGGATGATACCAGAGACATTAATCAATATGTCATTCATAAATCCCGATTTGTTTGGGACCAACATTGAATTCTATTGATCGGCGATTCATCAATGAAAAATTGGTGGTAGGGTTTAAATCAGGTACTAGTCCGTATCCCATCATTAACGTTGTTGTCATGATGAATGTTTCATTATGTTTTCTTGTAATTATCTACTTTTATATAGACTGTGAACCATTGTTGCTCCCATCGAAAAACGTAAACAAATGCATCTGGTTAATCTGAGGATGAGACCGACGATATTCTTGTCTTTATTGAATCTACTGTTCTGACTAGTATGAATGTGTTTCACAAATAATCCCGTTCTTATGCTTATAATCAATTTACTTCCATCACATCAGCGATTTTCGATTTATCGCTTTAACGCCATCTATGTAGGCATTTTAAATACAAACATTTCTAAGAACTCTTCTAAGAAATAATCTTTGAAATTGGCTCAATAACCAGAAAATAAGAATAAGATAAGATAAGATATTTTTTCTATAAAGATTGAAAACAAATTTTGATAAAGATTTGTTCTCATATTTGCTATCATATAATTACGAAAGGTACGTAAATTACGAGTCTAATGGTTGCTTAACATTATGAGAGGCTGGTCATTATTAAGTTAACTCTGCTTAAGAACGGTGGATAGAGAGTTAGGGTCAAAACAAAGTGCTTGGAGCTAAGATAATATTACTCCAATTCAACCATTTCCAACTTAATTTAGAATTGAACGTTTTCTACGAAGTTGTTTAGCCAGATGTAATATATTTATGTATGTACCACTATAATTCTAAWGAAAAATATTATAAAWATGTTATCCCTTCGGTTTGATTTCAAAAATATACAGTTATATTCCAAGCGTCTACTCTAGATAAATAATACATCAGCAATTACATCGATGATTTTCTTTCGATTCACACAGTTACAAAACATGTAACAATTAGTTTAGTAAGTTTATAGGCAATTTTAATGCGCCGAACGTAACACATGCTATTATTATTTTACCATGTTGCTGTATATTGTCATTTGATAAAAATACATATCTATAAGAGACCATGAAGCACGAAAGCCCGGATCAGGTATAAACTTTATTTTTAAACGATTCAAAAGATTTATATATATCACGTATATTGATCYAGTAATCGCCAGGAAATTGRATAAATTTCGAAGRAAATGTCGATTSGCGTTTTCCCAACAGGGATGTTTTTGTATCAAACACTTTTAAACTCAAGTTCAGTGGAAGACAAATAGGTTGAGACTATAATTGAGCTCTATTTCTATTACTCATTCCGGTTTATAGAAAGGTTTTTTTAATTCTTATGTAACAATACCGCCGTTAGCAAATGAATTTTTCCAATAGCAAACCGGATGACAAAAATGTCTCGCCATGAAAATGTTAAAGCTGTATCAAAAACCCAACAAAATTTACATGTAATAACTTTTACAAAGGAAATGTGTTCCGTAGGCTTAATGCTCCAAATAAGGTTTTTCTCTTGAACGAGATAGCGGTATTACGAACCTCTCATCTTGGTCAAATCTCAAATTTCTCACGACAACAGCGAATAATCTCAAGAGAACAGCGTGAAATCTCGTATAAAAACCTGCCCGAAAATCCCGAAATTTCTTATAATTATTTTGCTTCTGCTGTGCAAAGGAAGTATTACAAATTGGTTTTCTTTCCATGCTGTTCCTCGTTGGTCTTAGTTTTTTTTACTGCTCCTTTCTAAGAAACATCACGCATTATGGGAGCAGTGGATGTCTATTTTATTATCTACTGATTCGCCATATTTTTAGTAAATAGCTTTTATATCACTTTCTAGAAACCGTGCTTATAAAAGGATCGTTTAACCAATATGGTTTTCTGGGTTATCACATCCAATTTCAAATTTAATACTACATAAACTACCTCGCTTGGAAAAATTTTACGTTTACTGCACTTTTCATTGGTGAAATGTATGCAATAAAACCTGACTTTTTATTCTAGTGTTTCTTAATGCAACCAGTTACAAAGCGGAACAAAGCTCCGGAACAAAATTTATGAATGACACATAGACGATTGTTTTAAATCTGTGATAAATTATATAGTCATGTTACTAACGTTAAATAGATTTTCTGTAGTTTCAAAGTACTGTAGATCAAACATGCATTTTTCTTCGAGTAATTGCTCGAATTAATTAAATAATACTTTTCGTTGCTATTTCAGTCAATTGAACTTTATAAGACAAATAGAAATGTTAATGATATATCAGCAAATAGTATTAACTATTTAGTTATTATTTAGCAGTTATTTTACTCAGTTATTAAACTAAGTAAAATAACTGCAAATTTGATGACGTGAAAGTGTGTAAGTCCAAAAGAAGAATTGCGCGTGAAGGGTGGAAAAATCGCAACGGTTGCTAGAATTTTTTGTATAAATAAAGATAGGTTGCTATTATGCATGAAATGTTACAAGTTTGCATTTATGTACTTTAACAAATCCAAATGTTATTCGTTCTCTAGCTGCTAACATACAAAGATCTCTTACTATTTATATATGTATGAATAGTATGTATTTGTTAATTTTTTGGCTTTCAGGTGTAGTGGTTGGTCCCAAATAATTATATTTATCTCTTTCCAATGTACTTCAAAGACATATTCTAAATTGATATAACGAATGAATAATCTAGTTCCATTTCTAGAAAAACTTAGACTGATTAATTTCTTTCATATAATTGAAATATAAACTATTATTAATCAAAACTGATGCTGATGTTATTTTGCTGAGTTTCAAAAACAATTAATTTTTAAAAGAATTATTCCCAATTATAACTTACTCTTTTATTTTCAACTATAACTTATTTTCTTTTGAATCTGGTTTGTATTGTCTACGATAAATAATTTAAAAAAAATGTAGCAATATCAAAAATTGTTGTATTAAAGTTTGGGACGAGTTTATTAGGCCGTCAGAAAAGATAATATTACCCATCTAAAAATTGTGTGGGGCGCCAATAGAAGACAAAAAATCCTTCAAGATTTGCGCGACGTAAAAAATGACTTACAGAAATTCAATATTATKAAACGACACAACGCTGTTTTACATCGAAACCAAAGTGTTTTGACGATGCCAAATGAAATGAGAATATATTTAATTTTCATATGATACTATTTTYCATATGATATGAAACTAAATTAGACTTATTCTTGTAACTGTTGAACGTTTGAACTGCAAACAGGTCTGTAATSTAGCGATACGAGAACAAATAAATCTGTAAAATAGTTTGCATCTGAGAAACTGCTCAGAACTGCTAAATATAAGATATCCTGAGGACCKTAGGATTAATGGCTGTAACAAGTACTATTCGGTCCTGAAACACATATTAACAGTGCTTTTGGCCTTCTATTCTAAGTGCACCATTTTCTCGTGGCYTTTCTTATTTTTGCTGAAAGTATGTGACTTTCGGAATGCAAATAACTCATTTTTTCATTCATTTGAAGTTGGACAAGGAAAATAACAGTTTGTTAGTTTCCCAGTAACTGAAATCAAATGAAACACTCTGACTGATTAATAATGGTGCAAAAAACAAAACTTATTTCTTTAGCGCAAACGTTCATCAGCGATTAAGACGTAGAATTTAATACAATTATAGATATTTTTCGTTCGCATTTTTTCCACTTTCTCGATAGCATTACGTTTAGCGAAAATCATCTAACACACAGATAAAAAGGTTGGAAATTAAATTTTAGAAGAACAAACAGCAGCTTTAAGAACAAATCTCCCCGCTAAATTTATCGTAAGACACAGAGATTTCAGGTTTGAACAATAGTACATTTTGCTGAATTTATGTTTTCTGATGTAAGACATCTTCGATTATAATTTCTCCTTTTATGATTTTCAGAAATTATATAATTGCATTTTAACTATGTTGCTCCCATAATTCGTTTCATATATGTACTTTATTTTACAGGTTAATGCAAACAAAACAGCTCTGGTTGGTGTGAGAGTGGATGTATTGGCGGAATGCACTTGTGGCGCCAGAAACTTTTCCAAAGAAGAAAATTGCAGAAACACTCCGTGCTACAATGGGGGACGATGTAGCGAAACCAGATTTTCATTAACATGTTCCTGTCCCGCAGGGTAAGTATTTATGAAGTGGCTACTTATCAGGGTGGTAAAATAACGAAAACTAAGTTACAGTTTTAATATGAGTTAAATGGAATTTACTGTGTTTTGTTATTAAAATTCGGCACCAAATCAGCACTAATTAACTATTTGATAAATCCTAAAACATATAAAGCAACGTAATAGTTACATTTGGTTCAATATATTCAATAGCGTATTAAAATAGAGCTTTTTAGTTGGTAATGGCGCTGGATATGTACATTTTGATTTATTAAATTTCATACGACAGAATAGGAAACAATATTTTCAGTCAAAATGGTTTACATGATTGGTAAATAGTTATACGGGGTTTAATTAGTATTACTTGAAATTTAATATACAGAGTGTTTCAGACATTAAACCCAATACATAATTTAATAGCAGTTAGAGTATTGTAAAAGTTGACCATATTGTTACAGCAAATCGAAGCTGCTACACATAACGCTCAATTGGATATTAATTCCTTAATTTAATACCTAACTCTTAATAACGATTATGTAGCCTTGCGCGATTAAATGGGCTATAATTAAATCATTAAATGTAATTTTTCGAGTTTTTTTTTCTAAAATTCATTTCACTGAAGTTATTGCTGTTGACTTAGACATTTTTGCATTATTTGAAATATGATTCAGAACTCTGAAATCTAATACAATAAAAATAAAAATCGGAGCCTAAATCTAAACATAACTTAACAACCTGCACTTTTCTAATGACTGCACCTGGATAAAGTTCGCAATTAAATTTCTTAGTTATAGTTACTGATTGATACATAGTTACATGA